TCAGTGGATTCACATGGGACATTAGTACTTTTACGAAAACATTACCCAACGTCACAGGTAGAAAAAATCGGCGTGTGATCAGTGAATTTCACAAAGCTAGCTCCCTGTTAAGTGAAGTGTACCTACATTAACTCGAAATTTACTCCCTCATCGTGAATCTTAAATAAGACATCAAGAACTTTCAGACTAGAAAGGAAATTTTATATTGCTTGTAAGGTTGTAAAACTTTTGTATATGAATCATTGTCTGTAATAACTGTTATTGTAAATTGTATTATTGTTTGTGTATTAAAACACATACCATAAATTGGAGATATATTGGCATTTATTTAACTACTAAATTTAAATTATCATTTAGCTCAGTTTCAGACCAATCGAAATTGTAATTCGTAACAAGAGTTCCAACCGTAAGTTGACATGCTGTCTTGACCAAGTAACAAGGTAGCGGCGGTGAATTCTGTTTAATATCGGTTTACAGACAGTCCTTCTTGCAAAATAATCTTATCTGGTCAATCTCCTATTAACTGTTCTTCTGGATACCCTGGAATGAATGTGTTCATACCATTCCTGTCGTAAGGTGTTGCAAGACTTATTTCGACCTATATGTGTTAACCTAACCAAAACACGGTCATCGCGGGCAGTAGTGTTTCGGCGTCTACAAGTAGACTTGCTTAGAACAACGTTTCCTATTGTCCGATGATGTTTCAGGATTCTGGATACAATACACTTGGGGTACCTTACTGTTCTGGCAATGTCCGTTTGTTTCATACAATTTCTGGACAGTCGAACAATTTGACGCCCTATAACTTCTGGCACGTGACGAGGCATGACTCTACACCATGTACAGAGAGAGACTGTCTGAATAAAGTGTTGATCTGTTTCGAAAAAAGATTATGCCTGAAGGACATCGTTTTACACAAAACAGGTGTATATGTGTGTTTTGACGAACAAATGCTCAAAACAACTTATACAGACCAAAATAAATATTCATACATTTTTTTCCAATCATACGTTACCTTCTCTGTTACTAATCGGGCATTTATTCAATAACTACTCAATGCATGTATACAATAACATCAATATAGAACAATATGCAAACATTTTGGCCAAGACTGTATATTGTAATATATATTTATGAAAACGTGTCTGTGTTTTTCCAACGTTTATGAAAAACTGTTAATGTTCAAGTGAAGGAATTCCTATTTCAATAGTGTTTACAAATATATATGTTCAGTTGTATTTGTTGAATCATTTCCTATGTGTTTCATAGTCTATGGATACGTTGTTAACAAGTAAAACTGTATTGCAGACTTTACTGTGTGGTTCTAGTACATTTGCACTAAGTATCATTATATTGACTTTTTTGCATTTTCTAGTAAACACACTGCTAACACGTAAAGTTAGATTGGAGACATTTTTTAGTATTTCTAATGCTTAGAATACATTGTCAGCATAGAGTTTCAAAAATATTACTTTTATCTTCATCCCTGAAAAGGAAGGCCTAGCTTGTGAAAGCACTCTAGATACTACTGGATTTCTTGTTTTATGATTTCTTTATCCCCTGTGTTTTCTTAGTATAGAAGTTGAGTACGTTATATAAACTATTTTTGGAGCATCACCATGTCATTACAATCCATGTTCGCTCATGTTCCATCTGATAATCGTTCATCTTGATAATACCCCTACAACATAGTTTCCTTTGCAAAAGGCTCCAACGTAAGGCTATCTGTACGTTTTCTTATGAAATAACATGAATACCCGTTTCATTCTCTAGCTGCCTGATATATACAACGGTTGAACAGTTGTGTTTTTAGAATCAATTTGTGTGCATGTGAATTTGTCGCTTTTCCAGGAGTTCCTTCTTGATTGTGTTGAGTACAGGCGCATCATCATTGGGGGGGGGGGTCGACAGGGACACCCCTCAAGCTTGGAGAGAAGCCCCGAACTGCATGCTGAATTAACAGTTATGTGCATTAGGTCCTGATGATGACAAAACATTGTCCAAACGTTGTACATTTGCTGTTATGTTAAACTTATATTAAAGTTTTTCTTCATTACCCATTCAAGCTGTCTCCAGTCATTATTAGTCTCAAAGTGGGTTCCTCGTCATCGAATTTGAATTCACT